TTGCTAGCTTACATTTGAACAGAGAGGGAGATTAGAGTGATTGAAAGTGAAGGTTCTATCAATCCCAGCACTCAGGAGGCTGAGGCAGGAAATCAGAAGTTTGAAGCCATCCTGGGTTAATTATGGAATTTGAGGTCACTTTAAACTATATAGAGACCCAGTTTAAAAGAGGAAAAAGATAAACTTCTAAATTATTTATGCTAAATACAAATCATTTTAGTTCATTCATTCACAGATATTAAAAACAGTATGTTTTGCTTTAGATTGAAAATGTCCCCCCAAAGTTTCATTTATTCAAAGGAGGGACTTTTACAAGATTGGATCACGCAAGACTATACTTATTGGTGGATTAATCCATTTAGGAGTTTATAGTTGAGTGTGTTGCTAGGAAATAGAGCTTGATTGGAGGAGGTGAATTACCAGAGGGAGGGTGGATCTTTGGGGGAATCAGTCTCTCTCTCTCTCTCCCCCCCCCGTCCTTTCCCTGGCTGCCTTGAGTTGAACAGCTCCCCTCTGCCAGGCCCTTTCTGCATTGGAGCCAGCTTGCCATGGGCTGCATCCTCTGCAACTGTGAGTCAAATTAAATCTCTCATCCTGTGAATTATGGGTGTCAGCTATTTTGTCCCAGTGACAGAAAAGTGACTTGTACACTGTGAAAAATAAGAATTCTCAGTAGACACAGTGAACATTTATTTGAAGATTAGTGGATGAAGAAAGGACTTAAATGGCAGGGCAGTCTTGGGAGCTAACTGCGCTACAGCGTGGCCAGCACTCTTGGTGCATTTCAAGAAGCGGGATCTAACGCCCTAGTACTTAGAGGACAGCTGGTTAATGACATATATGTGAAGTGACTCAGAAGGCAGAATAATAGTCTTAAAAACTGGAGGTGCCTGGGCACATATAACATTAGCATAAAACAGAGTATGGTGGTCAGGTAGATTAGGCAATAAATAGGATGAAGAAACCCAAACAGGGATGTTTCTGTTCTGTAAAAGCTGTTGTTTCTCTTTTTATCTATCCAAAAGGGTCTTCAATACTCTTTTCCTTGTCAGGGATTAATTTGATGGATGAAGTAAAATAATGAGACTACTGGGGAAGAACGAACCTTCTCCCAAGTGATTCCTAGGTAATTAAGAATGATTTTTATCCTTTTTTGGGAAAGAGAATCTCTAAAGCTGTGTCCTTGAAGTGTCCTTGCCAACCAGCAGCATAAGCATCACCTGGGAATCTGTTAGAAATGCAGACCACCAGGACCACTCCAGGGACTGGGGTGGGGCCAGGAGCCTCAGTTTTACCAAGCCCTCCTGGGGACTCTGCGGCCTTGCCCTTAGGAAGCTAAGTAATTGCTCTTGACTTACTTTTTGTCAGTGTTTTCAAGAGATTTTCTCTCCTCTTTTTTTTTTTTCAAGAACAGTGAACTTTGAGAAGTTTAGAAAAGGTAGAACCATAAAAAGATAACAGGGAGCCGGGGAGATAGCTCAGCGGTCTAAAGCACCTGCTTAGGCAAGTTTAGGCAAGCACAGGGACCACAGTTTGAACCCCAGCACCACATACTGTGCTAGCCCAATCTCCAGGGTGGGCTGAAAGGGCAAAAAAAAAAAAACAAAAAACAAAAAACAAGCCTTGTTTAACTACATTTCCCTAAAGAAACTACAGTGCTTTAATGTATGTCTGGCATCCTGAAATTCATGTTTCAGCCAGGGGTGGAGATGTTTTATGTAAAGTGAAATCAGGATGAGGATTTCTGCAGCCTTTCACAGATAGCTGGCATATTTTCATAGAATTATATGCATTCTGATTTGTGTGTCATTTGACTTATCTACATTAGACTTACTATGATGACAGTATATCGTATCGATGAAAAAAAATAATTAAAAATATCCAAAAAGATCAAAGGCTATGACACAACACTTTAGAGTATTAGAGTATAATGTTGTACACATGTTGGAAAACTGATTTTTTTTTCTGAAATGCAGTTTTAATAGTATCTTATTATTTTGTTTCTTTGGTTAGGCAGAGAAAAATCTACATTCAATTTTTAAGAAATTGCCAGATGCAGGGACCAGAGTTCTTTCCCCAGCCCCACATGCTGCACTGGCCCCACCTCTGGGTGCGCTGAGCCAGCCACCGAGTCCGGGCATGGTGGCACATGCCTGTAATCCCAGCACTGGAGAGGCTGAAAACAGCAGGATCAGTACGAGTATGATCTGCATAGTAAGACCCTGTAACAATTACATAAAAAAAAAAGAAAGAAGGAAATTGCCAAAGTAGTTGTGCCATCTTGTATATACACTAGCAATGTATGAGACTTCAAATGACTCCACATCCTCACACTGGTGTGACAGTTGGGTATGGTGGTACGGTAGTTTGGTATAATAGCTGTTTTATTAGGTCTAGTGTTATGGTGATTTTAATTTACATTTCTTTTACAATTAAAACAGTAATGGTAAGGGCTGGCCAGATAGCTCAGTGGATTAAAGCACCTGCTTAGGCAGATGCAGGGACAGGGTTCGAATCCTGGTGTGCAGTGCTGGCCCCAACCCTGGGGCGCACAGAGAAGGAGATTGAGATTGGGTATGGTGATGTGTGCCTGTAATCCCAGCGCTTGGGAGGCTCAAACAGTAGGATCACTATGAGTCCATTCTGTGTAGTGAGACCCTATAGGCCCTGTACTAAATACATTAAAAATAAACAAAGCACTAATGGTGCTGAACATCTTTCAAGTGCTTACTTGCCATCATAATAAATAAGTCCCCAACTTATGAATGAGTTCTGTTCCAGGAGAATTATTCATAAGTGAGATTTATCTATAAGCCGACAAAGTGAGCCTTATATAGTACACCTGTGAAAGTGTGCAACTCTATTGTTCCTAAGTTTGGGACTTACTGTATATTCTGATCCAGTCATTCTACTTTTTATTTAAAAATAAAAGCATATTTCCAGATAAAGACTGAGTTGTGTTTCTTCAAAACTCCTATGTTGAAGCTCTAACCTAATCATTGAATTTAGAAATGGGATCTTTATGGAGGCATTTAAGGTTAGAAGAGATAAGGTGGTGGTGCTCTGATACTAAAAGATCAGCGTCCTTGTACAAATAGACCCCAGAGCGCTCTTGGTCTCTCTGTCACTCCCCCCACCCCAGTCTAGTGAACATACAAAGTAAAGGTCATGTGAGCACATAGCAAGCTAGAAGCTGCTTTCAAGATAGAAAGAGGCCTCATCAGAAACAAGCCACACTGCCACCATGGCTTGGAACTTTCAGCCTCCAGAACTGTGAAAAAATAAATGTGTGTTGTGTAGGTCGTTCAGTCTACAGTGTTTATCATGAGAGCTTGAGTCACCTCATAGGATCTGCACGGCTTTATTTGCAATAGTCAAGCACTGAATGCTTCCCAAATGAGCATGAAAGCATTTATAGTATTTATATGCAATGGAATACTACTAAGTGACACAATTGAATCACTTATATATGCAATGTGGATACATCTCAAAATAGTTGTGCCAAGTGAGACAAACCAGATCCTCCTCCCCCCAAAAAAGAGGCGTGATTCCATTTATATAAACTCTGGAGAGTGTAGATAATCTATAGAGACAGAAAGTAGATTGGTGGTGGCCTGGAAGGGGAGCTGCAATGGGTGGTGGGATGGAGGGATTACAAAGGTGCCGGAGGAAATTTTGAGGGGCCATTGATTTTTCAGTAGCTTGTTTAGATCATGCTGATAGTTTTCTGGGTGCATACATGCACCCAAACTTATTAAACTGTATATGCATTTATGGTTGCCAATTATGCCCAAAGTTGCTGAAAAAAAAAAACCATTATGGAATCTTATCTCTCATTTTGTGTTAAGCACATTTAAATTTTTTTCTTTTCTCTGGCCCCTGACAAAGAAAAGAAAAATAAATGCTCCAATCAAAACTTGTCCTTTTAGCAGCCTGAAACAGAATTCCTGCCTCTCTCCAAACTCCCAGCCTTTCTATTACTATCAGAGGTAAAAAGCAAAGGCAAACAAAGCAAGGCAAAGGACCACAGAACAGGTCACCTGGCTGTAAAATTCAAAACTGGAAAACAAAATATTATGCTCAGACCTTGTGGTTTTGCAAGCTTAGTTGGCTCTATTGAATTCTATCATAAAGAGTGAAAATTTATTACGACCTCTTTCAATCACATTAGGCAACTGGGGTCAAGACAACAACATTGCAGAAAAGTAAACCCTGCACAAGTAGGGACACTAAATAGGGAGACATCAGCTCATAAACTGGGCAACACATTTTAATAATAAAATCCAAAGTTGGATACAGAATTTGATTAGAAAATCAAAACCTGTTTCAATTTCTCAGGAAGCTTGGAAGATACAATAGGGAATTAGTTCTGTCTTATATAAAACTAATACCAAACACGAGATTTACATAGCGCTTTGGAGGTTGTGCTGATTCACTGTTAAATGAGGTGGCAATAGCAGGGAACAAGACTTTGTAGAAAGTTCTTGGCAAATCACTATGGAAGGAAACCCTCCACGTTGCCAATTGTTCATTTTATTTCTGCTCCTCCCTGGAAGCCAGGGTGTGTGTGTGTGTGTGTGTGTGTGTGTGTGTGTGTGTGTTTTATTTTAGCATTAGCGTCCTTGGTTTCAAGCAAGCATTTTTAGTTTTGGCTACCAAAGCCAACAAGTGGTAGAAGGAACTCAAGAGTACTCAAGATTATCTGATACCAAAGCTCTTGCTCTTTCTAATACTCAGTGTAGACCAGAGAAGTTTTCTGTGAGACCCACATTCACCTGCCCCATGTCATCCTGTGTCTCTTGTGACTCGCATTAGCTGGCTGCTGGTTCCCAGCTGGAAAGCACAGATTGCACCTGCTCCGAAAGCCAGCGGGGGCCCTGCCGGGTCTGCACGCGGCTGCAGTGCACGAACTCGAGGACCCACCAGGGGTCACTGCAGCCTCGGAGCTATTGTGTCCGCGGGTCCGGGAAGCGGCAAGCAGCTGGAGGGCGTGGGGCAAGGCTCGCCAAGGGCCGGGGGTCGGATCTAGCTGAGCGCTGCCCTCCGGAGCCAGCTACCCGTCTCCCAGGGAAACCGAGCCAGCACGCTGTGGCCAGCCGCTCGGCTCTGCAGCAGCCCGGCTTCCTCGCGCGGAACTGCCGGCACCTGGCGGTCGGGACACCTCTGCTCCGCCCTCAGCCCGCGATCAAGACCCCGCCCAGAAGGGGCGCTCAGCTGCGGTTGAGGGGCTTGCGGTCCGCTCCCGGACTTTCTGCTGACGTCTGGGTCAGACCCAGCAGCACCTGGGCTGCTCCCGCCCGGGGCGCCACTCTGGCGCTGCGGAAAGAACTTTCCCCGGAGCCCACCAGCGGCCTGGCGCGCTGGGTGCGCACCCCGGACTCCCCCTTCCCCCACTGCCCGGCGAGCTCCCTGCGGGCGCCGGCTTCTCCGCGCCACCGCCCGCGGCTCCTCCGACTCCGGCTCTGAATGTCCTGCAGAAGCAGCAGCACTGCGCTGCGGCGGCAGGGTATTCTGGGGGACAGAGCTTGAACTTGGTCACCCCGGACCCGGGCATGAGTTCCGAGGCCCCCAGACGGGAGCCGCGCCCCACCACGAGCTGACCGGCTGTCGCTGGGCTCGGTAAGACGCCCGCTGCCCTTTGGAGCCCTCGCGGTCCCTACCACTGGGGGTGTGGGGGAAATCGCCCGAGAGAAGACCCCGGCCGTGCCCCACCCGGCACCCCTGACACAAAAGAGCAGCCGAGGGAGGGAGCCCGGCGTCCCGCCGCAGGGCTGTGGGGTTGGACACGCCGGCCCGCCAGGGACCCGAGGCAGAGGGGCGGCCACGCTCGCATGGGCGCGGGTGGAGGAAGCTGCAGGGCTTCCCGGTTCCTCTCTTTTTTGTCCCTTGCCCCCACTGCCCGGAGACTTCTTTCTCCCTCAGGTCCGCCGAGGCGCCGTGCGCCCCCAGCCTTCGGAAGGGCCGGAGCAGCAGGATGCACGGGGCCGCGCCCGGTTCCTCGCGCGTTGCCCAGGCGGCGCCCGGGCGCTGACTCCCTGGCCCTCTCCCGGCTGCGCCCGGTGCTCGGCCGCCGACCTTGCCGGGAGCTGCACCTCTCGCCCTCGCTACGGCTCGGACAATAAATTAAAGCTTCGCGCCCGAGGGGAGGGGGCGGCTCGGCGGCTCGGGCGCTGCTTTCTCGAAGCCTAGCTGGAGACGGGCTCCGCCGACATGGGCTGTTTCTGCGCTGTTCCGGAAGAATTTTACTGCGAAGTTTTGCTCCTGGACGAATCCAAGCTAACCCTCACCACACAGCAGCAGGGCATCAAGGTAGGTGCGGGGGGTGCGTCCCGGGGGTCTACAGTCCCAGGGGCTCGGGGTCTACCGCTTTGTCTCGGGGCTGTTAACCCGCGGAGGCCGGGGCTGCATCTTTGCGCGCGAGGAAGGCGGACGGGTCAGGGTGGATTAACTGATTCCTCCATAAAGCGAGTTTGGCGTCGCAAAGGTGACTCCAAGCACCCCTGCTCGCCGCAGTCCGCCATCCAGCTACAGAGATCCAAACTGCCCCCGGTTTCCTACCAAAGCACCTAGGCCCCTCGCCGTTCCCACGGAGGCGCAAAATCGAACCTCCAGGCTGCACCCTACTCCGGTGTTTTAAGGCATGGTTCAACTGGGCTTTGTTGGAGAGTATTTTTTTCTTGATAGCTTTCTTGGGAAGTAAACTAGTTCATATCTTGAAACACATTAATTGTACCGTTGTGATTGTGTTCCCTGGGTAAGCAGTTGCATAGTATTACATTTGCACCGAAAATAATTTCCCTTTTCCCAAAGCGAACTGGTTTGAGCCTCGCAGATAAAGCAACCCTATCTCAGAGCGATTGGGCAATAGCTCTGATCCTGTTTGTAGACTTTCAAAAACGCAATTGCGTTAAAAACCTAAAGAAAAAGGCTGCGGAGCTTGCAGGCTCCACTTCCTTAATGTTGCTGAGTACTTACGTTTATTCCTGACAACCTGAGGATGCGCCTGCGCGCTTGTTTTGCTCTCGGAACAATTTAACCTCCTATAGGAGATCTGAAGCGTGGGCGTTTTGTTGTTCTGTTTCTCTTTCACCTTTAGTTTTAGATCACTAAGGTATTGTAGATAACCCGGCTGCTGACTCTGGTGAAAAGAAACCGCCCCCTCCGCGGATAGAGCTGGCTGCCTGAGAAATCCAGTTCCGGCTGCTAAGCGCCTGCTCGCAGTCTTGCAGTGTCAGAAGTTAATTCTAAAGGGCTAGGCCCTGGGCGTTGACTTCAGCGAATCCATCTTTACAGCTTCGCACACGCTGGAGTAACTGTTCCTCGCTGCAAGTCTCAGCGTTGATGTTGCCGTGTGTGGAGCTGAGTTCTAATTTTACAGGTGTCTTTTGCAGGAGAAAGGGGCAAAAGTGATCAGTGAAGGCTACAAGAATCATAGAGATCTTTCCTTTAGGAAATTGTTTTGACTGTCGTGTCCTGAGTAGTTATGTAATCAGCAAAATTCAATCAGATTCTTGTTTCCTATTTTCTCTTGTGGCCAACGAAAAAATCTTTGAAGGAGTGTTCATTTTGTACTTTTAACTTATCTTTATGTACTCAAACACTTCACCAGCCCAAAGAAATCAGGAACTTCACAAGTTGAGGTAAAATTTTGCCTAATAAATTAGGCAAAAATTATAACACTTAAGTTGTCAGTAGTGAAGAGATTCTCTATGGTGTGGGAGTGAAAACACAAAATGGTGAGTGGTGATTTGATAGGAAACAACAGAGAAGTTTCTGAAGGTGCGAAGTCTGAATTCATCTGGAGTCTCTAGTCGTTGGCAGCCTGAGCTTCCTGTTTAGGCATGAAAGCCATCCCTGGCTGCCATGGGAAGGAGCAGCCAAGATCCGGGATCTAACGGCATCATTCTGTGGTAGAAGCCAGAGTCAAAAACCCAAATCTGTAATTATTTATAGTAACTGCTGGTGCTTGGTTTTCTAATAGGTTGCAAGTTGGTGAGTCAAAGGCAACAGCAACTTTATAATACTGTTATTTTGGCTGTGCGCCATATAACTAAACAATAATTTAAGCAGGCTTTTGTTGGAAGTAATCATTTCACAACAGGCTTAGCCTCTTTTGGTGTCACGAAAGCCATGCCACGATTAGTTTGATAGCCATGTGTGGAGCACAGATGTCTGCTAAAGTTAACCACATTAGCTGCAACTACCATAAAAACGCACAGATCTACTTGTGGTATGTACTAAATTAAGCAAATTTGCATATAAAGGGAAGAAGGTGTGAAACAGCATCTTGCATTAAACAGTACTACAAAAATGGGAGGAATGTGTGTATGTGATTATGTACATACTTGATTTAGAATTTTTTCCCTAATCTTCATAAATTATGATGCATAGATAGTACTGTAAATTGCATTAGATAAATTAGCTCCTACTTTAGTTTGTAGTTTAAAAGTAAATAATCACTTCAAAGTTAATAGCCAATAGCTACTACGATATTATGGTGTTTTCCCTTGGGATGGTACTTTTGATATTTTTGATTACCACTAATTAAAAACAAAGTTAAACAGGCAATATCAATTAACCCATTTTACCCTGAAATTAAAACAAGAAAATGTCTCTAGTTTTGTATTTTTCTGTTTTTGTATTTGTGTGTCATTTTGGTAGCCTTTTTTTTTTCAGAACTGGGGATTGAACTCAGGTCCTTGTGCTTACCAGGCAAGCGCTTATTCTACAAGGGGGCTATGTCCCCGGCCCCCTTGTGTGTCATTTTGAAAAACACTTTATGGACATATTTAAGTACCATATTACAAATTGAGAAGTTAGTAGTCTGTTGTGGTGATGCACACCTGTAATTCCAGTGCTTGGGAGGCTGAGGCAGCAGGATTGCTATGAATCTGAGGCCAGTCTAAATTGGATAGTGACACCCTGTCTCAAACAACAATAACAATGACAACAAACAAACTGAGAAGTTAGAACTAATTTTATACAACTTAAATTGAACTTTTTCATTGACCATAGGAAAACAATCGTTGTGTTCCCATAGAAAACATTTCAGCCTGAAAATAATAGTTGCATGTCTTCTGTGTTCAGATGAGTATCATTTAAATGGGAAATAATTTTCTATTTAAAAATAATTAGAGGGCTGGCCAGATAGCTCAGTGGATTAAAGTGCCTGCTTAGGCAGATGCAGGGACCGGGGTTCAATCCTGGCATACCTTGCCGGCTGTAGCCCTCCAGGGCGTGCTGAGATGGTGACTGAGACTGGGCGTGGTGGCACGTACCTATAATCCCAGCACTTGGGAGGCTGAAAACAAGAGGATCACTGAGTCCAGTCTGTGTAATGAGACCCTCTACACCCTGTACTAAAAAAACCCAAAAAACAAAAGCAAAAAACCCCAAAACAAAAACCCACAATATTTTTGTGTCCATATCAATGTTCCATAGTATTTGCATTCTTAACTTGCTTCAGAGGTGACCTTGCTTGACAAGCAGGAAATCCTTTATTCGGTTCATAATGTGAGCCCTGGCCAGGATTTTAAAATGTGTTTATATAAACTGAGAGCTATTGGTTATGTGTGTTGAGCCTACAATAAGTTTTAGTTGTTTGTTCTCAGCTGTTATCTCTGTTGTTTATTCAAGTAAGAATTTTTGCTATGGTTGGTCTCAGTTTTTTGAGTAATGTTTGTTCTGGAAAACTTTTGTTAGGTTCTTTGTAGTTCTCCATGCCAGGCAGGGTAGAGATCTATTTGTCCTTTTAGAAAGCAAAACTTGGTTAGTGACTCAAACTACTTTTTTAGATTGTTACTTGGTTAGCAAAGGAGATTTGGTGGGGAAGCAGGGGCATCACAAGGCTTGATTATAAATTTAGTCCTCAGAATTGATTTTATAAATATAAAACAGTTTAATTTTATTTATTTATTTGGTGGAACTGGGGATTGAACTCAGGCCATTCTACTGAGCCATCTCCCCAGCCCTAACAGTTTAATTTTAAAAAATGTTTTGAGACAGAGTTTCAGTAGCTTGGGCTGGTGTCAAATTTGTGGTGATCCTCCTGCCTTAGTGTCCCAAATGCTGGGATTATACATATGTGCCACCATGTCTTGCCTGACACTCATTTTTTTCTAGATGTGTTGAGTAAATTAATGAAACCAATGAGACAGTAAAATGCAAACTGTGTTAGCTTCTATAAGTGGCTTTATTAAGATATTTCATACAATTTATATAGTTAAAATATGCAATTCTTCCATTAACTGCTAAATAATGTCAGATCCTAATCATCCTGAGATGATGATGATGATGATGATTTTTTTTGCGGTACTGGGGATTGAACTCAGGACCCTGCACTTGCCAGGCAAGTGCTTAGTCAACTGAGCTATCTTCCTGGGCCCCATCCTGAGATTCTTGAAGGAATACTGTGAGTCAGTTTTGATGTTCTGATCAGAAAGTTCCTGATAAATCAGAAAAAAATTACAAGGCAGGGATTTAAAGTATATGTATCTCATTTACCAAAAGTTATAATTTTCACTCCATTTGGACTGGTGAAGAAAATTTCTCAGAAGATTGGGGGGAAGAAGTTCTTCCTGACTTATATTAAGTATATATGCAAAAACCTCTGTCTTTGGTCTCAGCCACATTACTTATAACATAAGTTAAAGCAAGGAGCTCTTGAGTTAATGTAACCTGGCTGCTCAGTTGGTTAGAACTTTAGATGTGGCTGATGTACAAAGTGCCCCTCCTTCACACTGCATCTGACTTTCTTTTTTTCCCCATAATTTTATTCAGAAACAAATAGCAATGAGACAGTTTCAAACCAAATTGGTAGGACAGTTTCAATAATTAACACATTGCATACTCTCTCCCTAGTGGTTATTTGCTGTACAAGATGCGGACTTGATATACTATTTACAAACACTATTAGAACAAATCCTTGTATTCGTTAAGAGAATGTAACTATATATCTATCCCAACCACTTTGAATACACAGATACAAAATGGACATTCATCTCTATCCCCCTTTTTTTTTTTTGTTTAGTTCCATTATTTGAATATTATAGGTGTGTTAACTCAGCAAAATATTCTAAATGAGTCCAGTAGTCCATAATAGTATTGGGTCTTCCACTTGACTGGCAATGTCAGAAATTGTTGACCTGAGTCCCCTACAGCTCAACATAACACCATGACTTTACTTCTTATACTTCATTTTTATACTTTTCAGCTGGATAGTTAAGACCAAGGTAAAGCAGGACCTATGCAACAAGAGTTGTAGCTTTGGGTCTGATAAGGTCAGTGAAATCCCCTTAGGATTTATCCTG